AAAGTCCGTCATATGTGGATGCAGAACTAACTGAGAAATTTTCGAAAAGGTGAAACCGTATGATAAACAGCTGACCGAAATTCGACGACTTAGCAATCTAACGGTGTTAGAAGATTCAAGTCATTATCACTTGAGTCGATACGTCTACGAAACAAAAATTTAAATTCTAATTCCAATTTTCTTCTCGTGGGGTTTTTGATTTTTAAATGTTATAATTATAACTGCACGTATATACAAACTTCGGATTGCCGAAATTAACTTCCTTTCTTGTTATTCAGTACTTTTTACGAGAGTAGGTGATTTTTGTACTTGGCGTTACGTGATTTTTTTGAAAGGGAAGTGCATTTTAACTGTAATGTCACCGTAACAAGGTCATTTTTTTTGGTGCAGGCCCAAAGAACCCAGAAATCGATTTCATTTTGTAAGGAAATTGTGCTATGCTCTTTCTTAAAGAAACGACCAACCTCCAGCTTTTATCTTTCATGGAATGACCTCTTAAAAAACATTTGAAGGCGCATTCATCTCCCCAATTAATGCTAATAATTGGTATAGTCAAAGAGGAGTATGTGATGAAGGTGTTATAAATTCTTAAAAGGGTCCAAACAGTTCTAACTGGCCTTACTGTTGGCCAAAAACAGTCCCTATTTAATTTTCACTTCGCTTGGCTAAATCATCATTGATTATTTACCTAATAGCAATGAAAAATGCATTTAGACTTTTTTCGGAGCAGCTGAATCTGCACGTCCTCTCCCTTTGGATACGGTTTTATGCCGATTAGCTGTTCGCCTCAGCGATTCTCCATGTGAACCAGAATCTGCTTAAAATTTCCACACTTTAGGCGAATGTGTGCAGAGGCTATTACTGTAAAAATGTTCGAAAACAAAAAATGTTTCCATATTGTTGATAGATGCGAGCTAATACCCTCTTCCAATAGAGTCCATCCGTTCGAATCGGTTGGGATTTTCGACAAATGTTAAACTCAGTTTCCCACATCTACCATCTACCATCCGATAACAGCTGATCCAAAGACTTGTGGCTTATCAAACCAAACCTGTTGCTTCAGCGCCTTCCAATTTCAAATGTTCCCTGTCATTGTTTACTTTTTCGTAGTGAATCTCTCAATTTTCACTGTCAAGAAGAAGAACACAGACATACACCTAAAAATCATCGCCTAAGAAGTATAAAAGTGTCCGTTAAAGTCCGTCATATGTGGATGCAGAACTAACTGACAAATTTTCGAAAAGGCAAAACCGTATAGATCATCTGTTCAACGGATGGTATATGGTGGATGGATCTCTGTGGGAAGAGGGATAGGCGAATAATTTGTTGAAAAGTAGGTAGTACAAAAAAAAATCTTACCTTCATCTACTAAAACTACTTCTACAATTGCGTTGAGTGGAATATCAATCTTGTGAGTGCACATGCAGTTTGGTCCACAATCCGCAGGACGATTGTCTCCGTTACAAAATTGTTCTGGGTTTATATCATTATACTGAGAAGTCAGTGGCGCTGGTGCCGACAGGTATGAAATCTCATCGATAAGTGATATCACATGGTCTCCGGTGGGTGCCACTAAAATGTTTTCATATAACGAATTTATTTAAAAAACTTATTATTTGTACATACCCAAAAATCTGTTATATGTGTTCGGCTGGAAAAGATCTTCAGCTCGATATACGAAAAAGCGAAACGGTAGAAAAATCTTTACGTCTGGCTTCTCTGCCAATATTCCACGATCAATCTCAAGAGCGTTTTTAAGTTGGCTTACGCATATGGCATCGTTTCGTTGTCGGTTGCATTGGGCGTCCAAAGGATTCATGACCTTTTTTTTAATAATTTGGTACGTTTTTGTCGGTCGTAAAACAAGACAGTATTTTGTGTTTTTTATGTACATGAATTGGTAAATAACGTTTATATGTATTTTGGTGATAATGTACATATTGAAAAATAAAAAATATAGAGAAATATACATTACATTTGATTGTAGTTTTAACAAAAATAAATGTAAATTTTTATGTACTAAGTTCCAAATTACGCTGTTGGCCTTTTAAAAAGTGTATTTACAACAAATCAATTCTAAAAGCACAACACCATTCAATTTAACTATGTTAGTATTCAACTTTTCTACATACATTTGTAACATGATTTCGTATCCTTATAGCTTATTGTACTGTTAATCCAAAAGATTTGAAATTTAGCAGTTTTTTTCTTTTGCTAGACCTTGCCCATCCGCCATTTATCAACTTTCAAGTTTATAAAACAATAGAAATTCTGATATTTTTTATCGATAAGCGATAAATGCAGCCTTTATATGTAAATTCATCATTTGAGGAATCAAAAGTAGTGCAATCTTCGTGCATTCTAATGAATTTACCCAAATTACCCAGTCTTACTTTGTCGGGCGCTAATGGCCTATTCACTCAGATGTTTTCCATAAGAAATACCTGTACTAGAAAAAAACGGGAAGTCGCTACAACACGCTGCAGTGAGTTTGGACCACACACTCAAATCGATTCATTTCAGTGTTTTATTAAGTATTTTATACGAGCTTCGGTGTTTTTTTGTACTTGGGGGCTTTGGAGTTTTTTTGGGAAGGAAATGCAAATCAACTGCTATGGCGCCATTTTAAGTAAATTTTTGGTGGTGCAGGGCCAACGACCAAGGATTTCTGCACTCAGCAAATGATCTCATCTTATTTTTAAGCTAATGCCCAAAACTCCAGCTTATGTTCTTCTTGAAAGACACAGCAACTGTTGCACCAAAACGTACATTACACTAGTTGCCAAAACCCTCCAAGAAGGATGTCGTTCCTTGTAGAAATGGACTACTAGACCGCAAAAAGAGAAAAAAAAAACTTTTTTTTCGGATACGTTTTTCTTAAAAATGGTTGCCCCACAAAAAACTCTGTTCAATTTTCACCAAGTTAGCCTGATTGAAACACTCATCCTTGTTAAATTTGTTAATACATGCTAGTGCTGATATTCTATCACAACTATAATGCCATCTTTTAATTTTGCCGAATAAATAAATAGGCTACATTGAGAATTCTATTGTGGTCAACAACTCGGGAAACTTTGAAAATCTGGAATTTTTCATTTGCATTTAAAATGAGTTTTATTCACATTACTTGACCTCCGAGCCGTGGAAGGGTTTTTTGGTCCCGCACCAACAACAATTTTCTTATAACAGCTGACTTGAGACATTGCAGAGCGAATGCATTTTCTCCTTTTTAGCTGATTTCCGAGCCGTGGAAAGGCTTTTTGGTCCTGCACTAACAAAAATTTTTGTATAACAGCTGACTTGAGGCATTGCAGAGCAAATTCATTTTCTTTTCAAAAAAATCTCGTAACGCCAATAACAGATATCACCTAAACTCCTAAAAATACTGACTAAAAATGTATAAACTTTTTATAGACTTTTCTCTGTTTCATTCTGGCGCTGAAGAAATGCCAGCGCAGGAGCTCAACAAAGCCGAGATATGGTAATTTTGGTCGACTGTAAGTCTGCTGTATGCACTAGTAAGCACTGAAAAAAACTGTTGAAAAATAATTCATTCATTCTTTTGATGAAGATGCTTGCAATATTAGTACTTCAATTAAGTAATATATTTCTGGATAATTCATTTTTGGATAAAGTTAACAACGTGCATTATTCAATATTTTTAAATATATGCAATATATGCATGTAGTGATTATATAACAGTTGGAATTTTGATTGTAAGTACTTGCGGGCACTTACAACTACCACAACAAGGCGATGCAATGAAAGAGTGGAAGTGCTGGAGAAGATCGAGAAGACCATTGGGAAGAAGCACGCCAAGTGGGAAGTCGCTCTCTACATGAAAATCCTGAGGGACGGTTCCTCGCAAAGAAAGTAGTTTCTGGCTAATAGAATTTGGTTGCAGAACCACTAGTAATGCGGTGTCCAACTTTCAATCCGACTCCCCCTACCTGGGCAGCATGCGTCGAAAGTTTAAAGTACTATTTACATAAATAAAAACACACACAGTATGTTCAAACTAAATATACAAACAAGCAAACAAACCCAGCGGCTTGACAGTAAGACCATGCTACATGCTTTGCTGTGAAAACTTCGTTCTCACTGCAAAGAATACGACTTTTCGACTAGAGAAAATGGTTGCCGATCTAAGTACTAGGCTTATAACGGGGGTTTCAAAAGGAGCTCTACAAAAGTTTTTAAATAAGTAACATTAGATGTAACATAAAGTAAATTAGATGCCATTATATATGAAACTCGGATTTGTTTTGCATAACACGCATGCAGAATCGTTCGATACTGCTAAAATTTCACGTTCGATAGTCATGCGAAGTTTATCAATAAGGATGTAAGTCAAGATATTTTCTGAAAAATCACCAAAACGACGTCTCAGTGATGCCCAACGCTTGAGAGCGACTTGTGTGAGATTGGTTGAGAGAGACTGACTCCGAGTTTTGGTAGTTAGTTGTAATAATTTCTACTCGATCTTGGATTGTACAAATTTCCATGATGAATGGACAAACCTTACTGTGTGGTACGTTTTCTGTCCCTATTGGTCTACCTTTAAAGCGTCCTTATTGAAAAACAAAATTTCAAACTAGCATGTTTAATGTTTTTAACGACAAATGATTTCTTCATTGCTATTAGTAAATTGATCAAGGATAAGTGTTCATTCAGGCTATCGTAGTGAAAATTGAACAGACTCTATTGTAGTGACCCCACGAGAATTTCCGCTAATCAAATCCGTTTAAGCCCTTTTAAGTATGTCAATAAATTAAGCCAACTTGGGCTCTCAAAAAACACCGAATCGCCAGGTACAGATAAACGAGTTTTTTTAGGTTTTCATTTAATCAGCACATATTAAGTTAATGTTTTTTGGGGATATTCGTTCGGAAAATTTCCAAAAAAAAACGATTTGCCATTTTTTTTTACTTAAAGAATGGCAAACAAGTTTTTAGAAATCATCATTATTTAGTGGTATTTTTAGCCAAACAAATACTTACCACACCTTGCGGAATTCCAACGTCGTATGTTGGCGGCGAAGAGACCGGCTGATAAGGTCCACGGGCGTACCGCAGAACAGCCAGTTGCTGTGCACGACGAATACCACACTCCCCAAGTCCACGTAGCTGTATCCAATAAGCTCCAACAGGTTGATCCGCAGTTATTACGAAATCGTACCGCTCACCTACAATGCAAGTTATTTTTTGTTTATAACCACGTTCATAAAAACTATACATTTTTTATCGAAAAATAAAAAAAATTTAATAAGAGATTACTAAAAAAATCGTTTTTGTTGAGAAACAAAATTTGTTTGACTGTTTAAGCTTTCAGGCAGCTCCTGCGATCGCTGATCGCTAAATGTACTCTTTAACGGTCAAGTATCACTAAATTATTGTTTAATAAAGCACCTTTCTCTAACATGTAATGTGTGAAATGTACACGTACTAGTGTTGGGTAAATTATGCTCATTTCGGTAAACATGTTCACTTGTTCTTTTTTTTAATGAGTCAGTTGTTACTTGCTCTCGTGCTCAGTTGTTCACTTACTCACTTTCTCTCTTACTCACTTGCTCACTTGTTCACTTGCTCACCTGATCACTTGTACAGCTTGTTGTTGTCTTGCAATATTTGCATTGGCCTGCTGATCTCCTAAATGCTCAAAAGGGCTCAAAATTTCGCTTTACCTTCTAGATCACATCGTAGTGAGAATTTGAAACCAAATATACAAAAAGATGAACTCGCTTGTTCTCTCTACGATAACCGTAAAAACAGCTGATTTTATGTAGGACCGTATGCAAAAATTCAGAAAAAATCCTTTTTGAGACAAATTGAAAAACTGAACAAAAATGAGCCAAACTAAGCAAGTGAACAAAAAGAAACAAGTGAGCAAAAAACAGAGCAGGTAAACAAAAAAGAACAAATAGGAAGAAACATGTTCACTTACTCAGTTTGGTGAACAACTTTTTTTTGTACACTCTCTCATAAGCAACCAACCAAATACACACAAAAAGAACTATCCCTGCAAGCAAAAGGGCGATAGTTCTATCGCCTGTCGTTCAGAAGTCCCTTCTTAGTAAACAAAAACTATAAATTCTGATATCGCGTAGAAGTCAATACAGGACGATAGAAAGGGTCGGGATCGGAAAGAAGTAACTTCTGAGACACTTTTGCGCGATAGAAAGGCGACAGAAAACATTTTACAAAAACAAAAAGGGTCGGGAATCGCGAAAAAGTAACCTTTGAGACACATCTCGGCAACAGAAAAATGATAGAACAAAAGTTACAAAAAACATAATTAGTGGGTAAACACACGCCATAAGAAGAGGTCGCGATAACTTTCCGTTACCCCTTTTTTTCGGAAAATTTTTCGGATCTACGCTTATATTTTCGCCCGAGCGTTACTTCGTTTCGCGACTTGTCTGTGGTTTTGTATCAAATTTGTGCATTTACAAAAAATAGTTTTTTTTCTAAAAGTTTTTAATTGTATAACATATTTAAATGTCCCTCTCAACAAAAGGTGCCAATTACGTCCTTAGCGTGAATCTATACTACAATATTATTTAATGCTATTTACTGACAAGCCAGCTGTGGACATTACTTGTCGTTTAACTGCGGAAAACCGCAGCATCCAACAGTTTTCCACATATTTGACTAAACAAAAACCATATTTGTAATGTAAAAGAATATGTTTTTTCACGATTTTCCAATTGGTAAGAACGTTTTTAGGTATCTTCTAAAAGCATTCGGATCGTGGAAGTGACTCTTAACGCGAAAAAATGTGCCACTTCGGCGACACTTTTGAAGTCAGTTCTGCGTTACCTTTGGAAGTGTCGCCGAAGTGGCACATTTTTTCCCGAAGGAAGTCACTTCTGTGATCCGAATGCGATTTCGTGGACGAGCATTTTCATCTTCTTGAAATCACTAAATAGTGTCTTCCGCGATAGAAAATGCTTGCAGGGAATAATCAACGTAGAGAAAACGCTACAGTCAATGGCCTCGACTATTACCCGTTACTCAGCTTACCGGAGTGTGAGAGGGATGTATATGTGATTAAAGCAACTTTGCATTTTTTACTAACACACCTAGCCATAGCACCATCTATCTTCTACTTCTATAGCACCACCTAGCCTACAGCGTCAAACTAGCCTATAGCACCCCAAGCGGCTTGGTGGCGTATTATTGAGCACATGCGGTGTGTAATCTCGCATGAATTGCAAAATCTTTATTACTTTTGGATATAACTTTTTAATGACTGTGTTTATTTTATGACTTGGAAATATGGACTGCTTTAGCATAGCTTAACTAAATCGCTTTGGAGCGGAGCGGTGTCTTAGGGGAGAGTTGGACAGGGAAAGTCGAGGGCAGTATAAGAGAGCGAGATGTAGAAATCTGGAGAAAACTGCAGCTCGACTCTACCTCTAGAAATTCAAAACCCTTTTGGCATGAACAACAAAATTTAAATATAACCACACGGGCAAAATTTCCGCAATTTAAATTCATTTTCCAGACAGTTTCTCTCTGAACCCTGCATTATGGCTTGCTGACACTCTTGATCATGACGAAGGACTCGATCCAGACTCCCAATATTACCCCTTCAAAAAACTAATTTGATTTTTTTAACAATAATTATCAATATTCATCTTCGTCCACGAACAATTTTCGTTGGATTTGGCTTGTCTTTAAAGACCCAGACGATCGATTGCGGTTTCATTTTTGACTCATATACTTCTTTTGAAACACCGCGATTGTTTATTTTTTTCAAATTTTTTTTACACCAATCCACACGACCCTTTTTTGAGCGATTGTTAAATTGTGCGAGAACAGATCTTTTTTCGGTCCGGTGTTCATGCAATATCAGTGAATGCTGGTGGAAGAAATGCTCATGGATGCCTCTATCTCACAGTATGTCACATGACGATCTTGCATTATCACTTTACTTACGGCATTAATGTACTCTGGCACACCGACGGTTCTTGGACGACCCTCAAAACGATTGAATTCAATAAACCAGTTTTTCAAAGTGCAATAGCATGTTCATCGATGCACTGTTATCGTTATAATCGACGTCGAAGGTTGTCAAAAATGATTGCACGAAAATGATCCCGAATTTATTTCAGATTTCTGCCGAGGTAAATTGATGGATCTATTATCTATATAAGTCTAAGCTTTTTTAAAGGAAAAGGCCAACTGGTCCTTATAATAACTTAAATATAATAGAGGAGTGAAGTGAACCATTATCACCGATCAGCAAAGAGTGGTATTCGAGCCGAAAGTGAAGAGCACTCAATGTTTATCACCCACAAAGCGAAATGCAATGAGGTCGATGGAACGCATGTATGACCCAATAACAACATAAAATAATTGTAAACAAGATTTAAATATAGGACATATAACCACAAGCGGCATATTCATTTCAGTTCTGCAAGGCAAAATGCTTTTTGTTATTTTTTGTGCCTAAAACGCTGTGCCGCTTGACGTCAGCAGAAAAGTCGGCGCAACGTAGAGGACTACCTACGAAAACGGTCGTGCAACAAAGAGAGCCAGATATTCTGAGATTTACCCCCTTTCTTTGTCTTATAATCTGCCAGCACTTGGCGCTCCAATATGTTCAGCTAGCGACTAACATTTCGGCGAAGAAAAATTTTCGTGGAGCAGCGACATGTGAATGCCCTAATATTTTAGAAGCATTAGTGTATATCGAAAAAAACAACTAATATTGTTTTATAGAAGTAAATTATTTGATTATAGCAAAACTAAGTAAATTGAATTAACTTATAATGCTATGTTTAGGTATTATACATTATTATTAAAATATAATTTTTTAGTTAAGTTATAGAAATTTAGTCCGTTAAAATTGATTTAAATATTTAAAAATTTTTAATATTAACATTTTTAAAAAATTCGTATTGTACTTTTACTCAAGAAGTAAAAATTATATAGTCGGATATAAATCGCTTTAGAAAGGGTAAATGTGCAGTGGCACGCGCTAATAGCGAGTAAAGGGGTGAGAGAAAGACTTGGTGCATTCTGTTTGAGTTATTGAAAGGAAAGCAAACCATTTAAACTGTGCGTGAAAAAGTGAAAAAAATAAAGTCAGGTAAGTGTTACATTAAGTTTAAGATGTTGTGCATTGATCTTAGTTTAACGTAAGTAAATTTTGAGGGTGTTTTATGGGTACCGCTAGCCGAAAATGGATGAAAAAAGGTTTTGTGCCAATAAAAATCTCACAACGGGTTATACACAGCTCTAAAAGGTAAATATACAAATAAACAAGTAAAACGCATTTTTTAAACATATGCCCATACATTTTTTCAGGAGCGTCGGCCAAGGATTCGAAGGACCCGGACAAATGTTTAAGGAAGTCGATGACCAATGTAAAAAAAAAATTGACGAAACATAAATTTTGGCTTACTAACAATAATTGCCCTTTAGCAAAAAACCTCAATAACACAATTTAATTAAAATGAATTTAAAAGTAAATAAAAATGTGTGTATTTTAAATTCAATATTTTAATAAGTGAAAACTCATTGGAAATATTCTGAATTTCACAAGTGATTTCACGAAGGACGTGTCACTTTCAAGTGATTTCGTAAGTGAAAACTCATCAGAAACATTCTGAATTTCACAAGTGATTTCACGTAGGTCGTGTCACCGTCAGGTGACATGCCATACGACAAATGAGTACAAGGAACAAGTGATGTCCCGAGTGATTTCGAAAACTTTTCATTTGAATTTTCACTTGTGAAAAAACGGACATCCCATACAATTGTCCATATGGAGTGTCAATTGTTCTTTACCCGTGCAGGCTGACATGTTCGCGGTAATCACAAGGTGATTCACGAGTGAAAACTTTTTTTTGGAACTGAAGGGGTCATAGTCGATGCCATCGACTATCAGATACCCCTTAATCAGCTAAGTGTAATGGGAGCACTCAGGGAGTGCGAGGGAGAAAGAGATAGACAAGTGGCAAAGCATCTGTCCCAAGATGCACAGACGGTCATGGCTAGACTGACTCGGCTAGTAATGCTGATCAAGAATATACATACTATATAGGGTCGGAAACGCTACCATTTACCTGTTACATACTTTCCGACAAATCTAG